ATGGTGATGCTTTTCTAAAGGATTTTATTTTGTGCTTTCTTTGGGATTATTTTGTGTGATGTGATTATTCAGAAGTAATTTGTAAGTAGAAGCTTTTCACATCCAACCATTTTAACAGTTTGCGATTGATCTGCGGCTGGGCTGATTAATTTACATTTAGCAAAACTACACACTACACGGCGCCCTCAGGCCGTTGTTTCAGCATGCCCTACTAGTCAATTATAGACAAGTTTAGAATCAATACATAGAGCCAACACACCGATTTTTATTTAATAATCTTCAAGAGCCATTCCTCTAGGGTCGTTATTTTCACGAAATTGTCGTTTTCCATTTTGTTGTCAAGAAACTGGTATTTAGTTCACGAGAACGTATGAAAACCACTCATGCGTGACCGAAATCGTCGATTGGGTGCCTTCACGTGGTTTGACACGTGTTGACCTAGGCCATTGTTTACATCCAAAAATCACCCAAAACGGCCTTTTTTCGAAAAATTTGTTTGAAAAAATGGCTAAGTCCAGTTTGAAAAAGTGTCATTTTCGGGCCCATTTTAAAAAACGTAAAAAAATCCGAACTACACGTAGAAAAAAATGGCTTTTTCGGCCCTTTTTAGCTCCAAAAACGCGTCGCGTGACGTCACCGTGACGTCAGCCGCCAACCAAAACGCGGAGAAAGCGCGCGTTTGATTGGTTGGCGGCTGACACTATGAAATCCTCTAAGGACGATTCGAATGGTATACCGCGTAAGGAACTTAAATATATTAAATAATACTAAATACTACTTAATACTATATTATAGGGGAGGCCCTAGGCCTAAGTATTAAATTTATTAAGTTGATCTAGACCTAGATCCAGACTAGATTGACTAGAAAGATTATCTGTTAAAAAATATATCTAGATAGATCTAGATCTATATAGTATATAGAGTATATAGGCTATTCAATAAAATCAATAAGTATTTAGTATAAATATTCTATAGGCCTAATGATTGTACTAATAAATAGTAGAATCTAGAACTGTAATAGATAGTATCGTATCTAGAATCTAGTATCTGAATCTAAGTATAGTAGTGATACTAATTTAATTTACTAATAGTAGGCCCAATAGAAATAAAGTAGACCGTCTGACTAGTGTGGTGGATTTAGACTAGATCTAGATATAGTTTTAAGTTTTAGTATTGCTATACTAGCGTCTATCTTATACTCTATATTTCAGTTAATTATAATAATAGATAAATTAAATTAGGCCCATATTTTATATTATTACAAAGTGTCGCTGGTATAGATAGTTTTAGACTTGTCGTATAGTAAATAGTAATTAGTAGGGCAGTATATACATGTAGTCTAATTAATGATTAGTCTAATTAGTTAGAGCCTACTTGTTTAAATATATTTACTATTTAGTAGTATTAATAAAGTATAGTTACTCTATTCAAAGTATAGTTATTAGGTATAATACACAACCTCATAATCGCAAAATCATGACATTAGTGACTCAGTTATTTAGTAGGCCAATAAGTTCTATATTAATTTAATTTTAATAGTTAATACTTCTTAAATTACTAGATTTGTACAAATGAATACATTTTATTTTAGATAATTTAGGCTATGATACTGCTGAATACTTCAGTTACATTAGTATTATGAATTAGGGCCTATTTAGAGGTAGGCCTAATTATTAAATTACTAATTAGACGTATGATAACTTATGTTGGTCTAATAACTAATAGATTCATATTTAATAGCAGTAGGTCTGTAGGTATAGAATAGTATTGTAAAAAAATAAAGTATGCTTAATTTTTTACAGTTGTCATATTAATTTTAGTTTTAGTAGGTAGTAGTAGGCCTGTGATAGCGCAGGTAGTTAGTATTAGTATGTAAGTTAAACAAAGTTAACTACTATAACTAAGCTTAATAAGGCTACAATTTTAAACTAAAAATTACATGCAGCCTAAATAAAAGGTTACAGACTAGTGCATTAAATAATATCCAAAATTTAAGTTTAATCTACATTAGTTTAATAATTGTAAAAATTACTGAATAGGACAGTAGGCTTACTTGTGAAGAGCTGTCTTATTTTAGTTCTACTTAATTAATATATGACTTAGTCTACTCTTAGTCTCCTGTAGTTATCTTTTGAACTTATTAAAAAATGCAGAATAGTTAAAAGGTGTCAATTGTCATAGATGGATTAACTTACTATTCAAATCAATATAATTATACTTATTTATTCTAGTAGGTGTATGAATTGATGATAGTTTTAGTAGCCTAGTTTGAATATAAATTTTCAACTAATTCTTGAGGTGGCTAAACATAAGTAGTAGACCTTTATTGATACATTTTTAATTTTTTTTTTTTTTTTATGATATATACATGACTTTTGACACTTTTGAAGACCTATTGTATTTAATGACAAACTCCTTACATTAAAATATTAAAAGAAAATCTTAGATCTATATATTTAATGAATGGTAATAATTAGATAGCCCATACAATCACATGCATAAATAGTCCCATCATTGCTTTATGATTTTTATAAGACAGACAAATATTTTTAATTATACCATAAAATGTTAAAGTATATAAATGTAATGAGTTTAATATAACAGTTTGTGAAATTTATTTATGTTTTTTTTTTAGATACTACATACAGAGAAGATAAGTCAGATGAAGTTCCTTTTAAAAACTCTTATCACTGAATCCTCCAGTTCTGAAGACTTAATATACAGTATTCTTCAACAGTGGTCAGGCTTGACTGAAAATGGCCTACACATACCTATTAGATCCAACTAGTCCAAGGATACATGCTGGACCCAAGAAAACTTGTTCATATTGAACAACTTTTTTTTTTAATATATAGTTCTGAATGTAATTAAAAAAGAAATTTATAAAGTTTGTTATGTTTATTTTTTTCAGCACTGGTTGTGTGTGATGGTGTATGCGGAAACTAATTATTGTTACCTTAATTTAATAATTGACTTAAACTGGCGAACTATAAATAGTTTTTAAGAATATGGTGCTGAAGTAGATTTCACCTAGTTTTGTTGCCCTTCCATATTAATAAATTGTATGGTCAGGAAAATATCAAACAGCTTTTACTGTCCATAACCAGTCAGGTACCAGTTAACTGCTTTGAATTTGAATCAGAGACAACCTAAAGGATTAAAATTTAAACTCAAGAACTTTTGCTTTAGCAAATGTGTTCACAAACATGTAGTCCCACTATAAGTCTTTCATTTGAATATTATTTACATATAAGTTTATATCAAAATATAATCTATCATTTGTTAATATTATTCCTAGTCCAAACAACATGCTGATATGAAACCCATTGTATTACAAGAAGAAAATAAGGAATGAAAATTTCCCATAAGACAGCTTGCTTATAATAATACAAATAATAATAAAAGGGCAATGTCTGCAAACAATTATACTTTAATTTTTTATTTAGAATTTTCTACTTTGTATTATATCTCGTTCAAAACGAACAATTATTAAAATATCTTATGTTATGGTTTAAGCTTCAACTTTAGTATTTTGTAACTATTACTTAAATTTTCTACAATGTTAAAAATAAAACTACTATATCTATCATAGCTGTAAAACATGATAAGGGAAGAATCAAGAATATGGGTTTTTGTCAATTCTAGCCATACCAGCATATAAATGTAGACCAAGCTTATAGAAATATGGCTGATAACTAACCATAAACCACAAATACAGCAAACTATAATAACTGCTTGTTTCCTGGTAATGTGTTGTTATTGGCTGTGCAAGTTTATAAACATTTTGTAATTGTTTATACATTACAAAAGAAAAAGACTGTAGCTGATCAGATGCATTCCAGATATTTGAGGAAAAGATGTTTTCTATAAGGATAGGCAGCTCTAGCAAATGAGGTATGGGGAAATGTTGAGTTAAGATAAACTATTTAATAATTGTAATGACAGAGATACCATCACAGCAACAAATGTAATTGGGTTTGTATGACTAATTAATGAATATCCTATAAATAAATATAAAATGCTGAGGTGGTCGTCTATAAACGACTTTGAGGTGGTGGTGGAGATTTGGACCTTTGTGTCAAAGGGGAGGGGGTTCAGAAAGTAAGGTGACACTTTTCCATGTTCAACAAACACTCATGTTAAGAAACTGAATTTAAGCCTTTATTTGCATTATTAAAAGTTGTTTTATAAATTGTTGTAAATAATTCATCAATAGGCCTACATTGAATGCTGGAAAAGCCCATAGGTCTAAATATTTTATGAAAATCGCTGCTTTAAAAACAAACTAGGGGGGGGGGGAATGTTGGCTTAGGTTTACTTCTTTGGGGAAGGGGGAGGTCTGGCATCGTTGTGACATCGTTAATAGACGACCCCCATAGTCAGAGGTCGATCTAGATTTATTAGGCCTATATTAAAATGATATTAATTACGCTTTACTTATTATTACAATGGAATATAGCCTAGTAGTTTATTTATGTTAAATAATATAACATCCCCTTTCACCACAACACCCTGACTATACTAATACAAATTAAAATAAAAATGTTTGGTAAATTACTATTATATTATTAGTAATTTTGTGTTTAAAATTCTAGCCTTAGTAAAAACCGGAAGTGATTTTTACTTATTTCACAAATGTTATAAAATATTCAATTTTGGTTCAAAAATATGCTTTCTGGCAACACAAAGTGGAACCACTTTTGGAACCACTTTTCCTACCTATAATGATGGAAGGATTCTCGTCAACTCGGTCATATCCATTAATTTAAGGGGGGGGGGGCTTTTTTCGTCTACATGAATTACTAAATATAAATGGGAGGGGGCGCAAAGTTTAAAGTACGCCCTTGGCATCGTAATGGGTCGCTACACCTCTGCCATAAACAGCCCGATACGCTTAGGCCTATACAAAAACGTTTTCATATGCACTTTTTCTTTCGTCACCGTTTAATAGTTTAAGTGATCCAAAATTTACATCTACTTCCGACAAATCAACATCCGTGTTATTTACAAAACATGGCGTCATCGTACCACTCGTGCAATTCTGTGAACGCGGTCACCAAAACTTTAGCAACTTAAGCATCAACATAATTTTTTTTAAACGTAGCTTAAAGCTGTGGATAATGATTAGGCCTTAATAATTTTAGCTTTAAAATATTGAGTATTTAGCTATGAGCTGATATATTCTAATTAAATAATGATGGAATCAAAGAATAAATCAGCACTTGAACGAGGATCAGCTTCTGACGCAACAAGTGTGTCCACATCCAAAAATGGATTCAGTCTACGATCTCATATACGATTTGAACATTTAGTTGCAGGTGTTACTGGAGGATTGGTATCCTCTATTGTTTTACATCCACTTGATTTGATTAAAGTTCGATTCCAAGGTAGGAAAATCAAGTAGATTTTCTCATTGCTTAGATGGCTGGATTGACCTCTGACCCTGAAACGTCACGCGTCGTTTTCTGACGGTTTTTACGTTTATTTTAGGGGTCCTATACACGACAAATGAAAAAACTGCTAATCTCGCTAATTCTCATCATTATTTTAATGAGACATGCTATATAAATGGACGCCATGCCTGAAAATGGCCGAAAAAATAGCCAGATATGTGGTTTTAATTAATACATGCTATTCTTGTCGAGTACTCTTGGGAAAAACTGAACTGTCGCTTTAAACGGCCCAGCACTCGGTCGAAACCCCCCGGCACAGAAGTAGTAATATATAATTGAGATATTTATAATGAGTAATTACAGTTATGTTGATTCGCCTATTTTATATCGAATTTCCATATGAGGTACCCATGCAGACATTTCTGTCCGCTTTGTTTACTATCGTGACGTCATTGTTACGCTAGTTACCTCACAGAAACAACTCGTTTTTGTTTTTTGCGGAATGAACTGTTAAGTCTAGTATTTTAATTATAATTCAATTGTAGCGTGTGCAGAAAAAGTAAAATTATGGAAATTATTTTTGTATTAGTAATTTTATTAGTATATTGATTTTTTCTTCACTGTGGGCCGACAGTAGCTGCATTGAATTTAATTCGTGACCGGTGGTTAACCTCGTCAACGCTGCGTGGCCTATTCGTTTATATAATTAGTGATGCTCGTTCAGTGGCCTTTTTCAGAGCTAGGCCTAATTACGGGCGTTTTTTAGACTTAATTGATCGGCCGTTAGCCCTTTTCATTGCTGCGTATTTAAAAAAATGCTCGTTCAGCGGCCTTTTTTTTTTTGGCGCTAAATAATCTGTTTACGGGCATTTTAAGCGTTTATTTATTTTTTTAAGCTAGACGTAGATCTAGTTTAAAAAATATTTTTTAATACAGCTGGCTGCAGGGGGGGGGGGGTGCAAATCGAAAGTTTGAGGGGGTGGGTGCAAATCGAAAGTTTGAGGGGGGGGGGGTGCAAATCGAAAATTTGAAAGTTTGTCCCCGGGAAGAGTCGCTACGCCTTTGGGGGGGGGGGCTGACACCATTAAGTGCCGCACCGGGTGACACCCGACCTCGCTACGCCACTGGCTGGCTGTCTTGCATGCCTGATATGTGAACTTAAAAAAAAAATTACCGAACTTTAAAAAAAATGACCAGAAGTAGGGAAGTAGGTCTGTTTTTCAATTGGCTAGAGGGAGGGGGGGGGGGGGGGGGGAAGAGAGAGAAGTGAAGACACCGACCATCTCGTGTACGCGTGTTCATGCTATGATGTGTACTATAGGCCTGCTGAACTCACGGTGACCCGCGACCGTGGTGGGATTTTTCATCCACAGGATAGTAAACGTAAGCAAGCAATCACGCGAGTGACGATGTTTGGAGATTTTAAAAAAAAAATCACATACGTCATGTTTTCAAGATGAAAAAAAATTGTAATGTAAAAAAAAAATATACCATGTATGAACCTCAGCTGCCACACTGTTGACTCAATATAATGTGAATTGAGTGTAACATGTATTTGTATTTATAAACGATCATAACTGATACTATCTTATTATTTTAAGCATATTTATTATTTATTATTTAAAATTAGAATTTGAAATAAAAATATTTATTATGGTCATTTGATTTATGCAGGTGTTCATTACTTCATAAAATTATTAAAATGGTATGAATAACATGTAGAGTAGAATTTAAAAAATAATAAAATAACTAGATCTAGTTTTATTATCAACCAGTTGCTTTTTGTTATTTTCCGGTGAGTAAATTACCTAAGCTGACGCAATTACCATGGCGGGAATTAAAAGCTCGTGTACACAAGTCGACGACGTCATGTTATGCCAAGAACGCTGTTTTGTCATTCATTTTCAATTTTGATTAATTTTCAAATTCTCTCTTTTCTCGTCAACCGAGTAAGCTAGATATTTAAATGTGGTGTCAAATGTTCTCTTAAGGGGTAAGGAACTTAATGGTGTATTTGAAATAACAGAATATTTTATTTTTAAAAATCCAAAATTCAACCTAAAATCAAGTTCTAAATTTGAAAGTTTAGGGTAGGCCGTTCGATTCTCAGCTTCTGGGTTTGTTGTTTTGAAGCCAGCTCACGGCTCATGCACTAACCAAAAATGGCGACCAGTTTCGCTTTCACTAATGGGTAGAGGGATAAAACTGATTACGAAGCCATCGTTAGTTTAAGAATCGGAACTAGAGTCTATCCGTTTCTATTTAATTTAAGTCTGTTATTTAAGAATTGTCGGATCTACTTTTGGCCTAATTTCTTGGTTCGTCTCGCAAGCGGCGCCTTAGTGAAAGTAGCTCTATATAATTCTTATCTTTCGAATCAAATAACTATAAAATACCGCTGCTATTTTTAACCAGACTATGCTTATTTGAAACTTGAAAGCATTAATTTTACACACATTACAATAAACATTAAACCTAACTCAACGGATTTAGATCTAGAGAAGAATCCTTGGTACATGGTTAAAAATCTATTTTTAATTTTTTAACACATTTTCCCCTCTGTTATGTAGGCCTATTTTATATAATATATAAGGGTGTGGGGAAATTGCGAGACGCGAAAAGCGTAATGGCGAGGCGGGAAAATGCGAGAAGGGCGCGAAAACGGTCGGTCACGTGACTTTTTGTTTCGCATTTTACCACAAGCCGATACTTACGCTGGGTGGTGTTGAAATGCGAAGATTTCTGCGAAAAATTTACCGCACCCTATTTTCAGTGGTATTTGGTTCAGACTTCAAAGACGTTTCGTTTACATTGTTAAAACATCCGATTTTTCCGTCGCTAGACATACTGATGATTTGTCAACTTTTGTGTCGACTTAGAATACCACCTTGTTCGAAACCGACGGAAATACCGCCGACGATAAATCAACTTCTGTCTTTTGTGTGGAACGCCGAGGCCGCCTGATTTACCGTCTTTGAAGATCGCCGTGCCCGGATCCGCTGCCGCCGCAAACATATTTTCTATTGTTGCATAGAAATTTTGTATTATAGCCGCCGCCTACGATTTTTTTCTAGCTTTTTTTACCGTATAAATCTAAGCACAAGGAAATGCCTACATCATTTGGATACAACTATTCTGGAGGGAAGAACTACTTACTGTGTGTTTTCTCTTCCAATGTTCCTTTACACTAATCTATATTAGATTTTATATCACGGTTGTGACTTTTCCGAATTTTCCCATAAATGTTATATTATTATTTATTAATTAATTGTAAATATATATATATATATATATATATATATATATATATATATATATATATATATATATATATATATATATATATATATATATATAATATATATATATAATTTATTATTTATTATTTCCATAAATAAGTCAAAAAAAATAACATCAAATTAAGTATGCGATTACTGCCCTATGTGAAGGTGAGGACTAGATTAACCCTCCCTTATGTGTTGCTTATTCCTAAGCTTTTATGAACTCTCAATGCTCCCAGTTTTTTTTCTCTTACTTACTGTTTGGGGAAAAAATAAAGTGACGTCACCGATATTATCAGTTGCTCGTGCTATATCGTAAGCTATTGGCCTACTTCAAATATTTTTAAAACCAAGTTGAACTTATCTGAATTTTTTGGTTTTGGTGGTGGTGTTATTTGGGGTCTTCCATAAATGACGTCACACTCGTAAGGGGGGGGGTCTGTAATTTTATGACGATGTGTGATGAGGGGGAGGAGGGGGGGTTAGATGTGAAGTCACACTATAAAAAAGCAATGTTAGAAAAAGAATTTTAGACGTTTTTTTCGCGTTTTAGAAAACTGTTTTAATACATTGTAATAGGAATTGATTAAAATACTCTATTTTGACCGAAATTAGACAAGATTTTGGGAAAATATCGATGTTTTAAAAAAACTCAACTGCAATTTTGAGAGGGGTTGTCGGCTGAGGTGTCATTTTAGTGGGGGGAGAGGGGTCTGGATTTTTGTGATGATGTGTGACGGAGGTGAGGGCGGGGGGGGGGGGGAATCGTCAAAAAAGCGGGACATCATTTATAGATTACCCCTTTTAGCTATTAAATGGTAGTTTTGTCGATAGCGGACCTTATTCAGATCATCTGCAGATGATGAGAACATGGGTGCCAGTGTTGTTAGTGGGATGAACGAGGAGGTCAACTGTGATGAGAATGTGAAATGTTGTGAATGTGGATTGGAAGAAGAAGCAAAAGAAAAATGTATAAATGGGAGTCTAATGAACTGGGTTGGGTGTACTATGTGTAAAAGATGGTGTCACGAGGTGTGTTTGAGGACTGTTTCAGAAGATTTTGTTTGTAATTAAAATTACTTAATAAAAAATAAATTGCACTTTTTAGAATTGTTTATACTTTTACACTTTTTGCAAGTACAAAAATCCATAAATAGATGTTGCAAAATATCTCTCCTGCTGACAAGATTATACCAATTCACAATGACACCTCTGACGTTTGTATAATCATGAGCGGGCTAGATTTTCAAATTAATGCCGACTGAGAATGGATTTTCCTCTCGCTAACAAGAGCGGGCGATGACAGTAGCGCAGCAACGATGTTAGGATTTTTAAATAGATAGATCTAGATATCAGGGATGTGACTTTTCCGAATTTTAGCGGAAATCCGATTTTTCCGTTTCAGTTGCGATTTTCCTCCGCTGATTTAATTTTCGCCGAATTTTTTCCGCCGACTTTCAATTTTTGTCGATTTTTTACGAAATTTTAAAAAAATTAGGAAAAAAAAACGGAAATGTCTTCTACGGAAAGGGCCAACATGCTCATTCCACTTGTTCGTATTTAAATTTAAATTGACAACTACTGTACTATACTTAGGTCAAACGGACACTCGAATATGCGCATTTCTTTTCGATTGGTCGATTGCGCTAGGTCTGAAAGTGCTAGATCAAGATGAAATGTAGATTAAGATTCGGAATTTCGGCGGACTTTCGAATTTTTCAAAGCACACTTTTTTTAGTCCAAATTTTCCGCTATATTCAGTTTACTATTTATCAAAAACACGGGGAAAAGGTAATCTAAAATAATGCAGTTATTCAAATGAAACTGACATCTCTTAAGCCTGGTTATCTAGCTATCGATATAGCCTAATTTACCTATCGGTATTTTAACCCGTCTAAATCTAGAGTTTCTCTCTGATTCTATTTTATTTCGCAATCTCATATTTATATTGAAATCCTTGCAAAATGACTAGACTAACCCGCCCCACCCCGTCGCAACGGTGGCTCTTGTGACCTCACCTTGACCCCAAGTACGTGTTCGGTACTGCTTGTGGAAAAAAAATGACGTCACAGTCAATTTCAAATGGCTGTTCCTGCAATACGTATGCTCCGTAGGCCTACAGATAAAAAAAAAAACTAAACTCAACGTGACTACGACCGTGTCTTGTTTGTGGAAGAAAAAATATGTTCAGAGGTCTTCCATAAATAACGTCACACTCGTAAGATAGTGTAACGTCATATTTTTGTATTTTAAAAAAGTAACGTTAGAAACAACTGCATTTTAGCCGCTATTAAAAAACTGTTGTAAAGCATTGTAATAGAGATTGAATAAAATACCCTTTGTTGGTCGACCTCCGACAATATTTTAGAAAAAAATCGATGTTTTAAAAAAAAAAATCAAATTAATTTCGAGGGGGGTGGAGCATTTGATGACTGAGATGTGACGTCATTATAGGGGGGGGGAGTCTGGCTTTTGTAGGAGAGAGGGGAGGTAAATATCGTCAAAAAAACGTGGATGACCCCTAACAATTTACATTTATTCCAAAAAAACAAATATCGATATGGCTTGGCTATCAAAATGATTAACTTTGGTTCACACGTCAGACCCTTTCTAATTTTAGCTGGTCCATTTCATTTTTTCATCACATGAACCTAAAACTTTCAAATTATAACTAATCTTAATCTAGGCTCTTTACAGTTGAAGATACATATTTTTACCAATCCAATCTTTAAAAGAATATAAGGCATTAGGCCCCCTATTTAAAATAGAAAACAGGAGTACATCTAGAATGTACACTAGATTAGTACAGTTTAAATTAGCTTAATGGTAAAATAAAACTTAATTGCTACTTTTTTTCCATTGTAATTTTTAAAAAGTTGTTAATAAGGTAAACATTAAATTGCAATTAGACAAGACTTTCAATGTTAAATATTTTAGAGTAACATAAACTTCTTGTATTAAAAATATTAACTTCATTAAACAATTAATTAGTACAGTAACAGTATGAAGCTGCTTAACTGCGGTATGAAGCTGCTTAACCGCGATAAAAAGTAGATAAAACATATTGAGTTATTATCCGAAGAAAATTTCCTAATTTTTTTTCCTGATCTGGTCACATCCCTGTAGATATAGATCTATCTATCTTCTTAGTATCTAGATAAAAAATAACAACATACAGCACTCGTGTTAAAGGGTATGGCTAAATGCTTGTTTATTTTAAAACAAAAAAAAATAATTTAAATAAATAAAGATGGAAAAAAAAGAAAACTTTTTTTCGCAAAAAGTGTCTCGCTATTTACCCTTAATTCCGCAGGTATGTCTCGCATTACCTTCTCGCATTTTCCCGCCTCGCCATTTCGCTTTTCGCGTCTCGCAATTTCCCCACACCCAATATATAAATCTTGGTAAGGAATGACATAAAAACGATGGGCTCTTTGCATTATTTAAAAAAAATATTGCAAAGATCTAGATTCTAGTGAACAATGAATCATGATGGGCCTTATTCAAAATAGGTTTAGGCCTAAACTTTTTAAAAGCAATTTTAAAAAACCAATTCGATGAAACAACACAAGAAACCATAATAAACATGAAGCTTCCAGTAAGCCATACAATATTGACTGGTACGCCACATTTGCAGTCACTTTTTCGTGATTTGTGACAGCCTTGAAATAAGTTAATTATGAAATCAATTTATTTGAATTTCAATTATTTCAGGCCCTAAGTCAGGTTGGGCCTTAAATTAGGTGTTTTGTGAATTTATAATGGATATAGGCCTACAGTACAACAAAATAAATTAGTCTTACATTACATTAAGAAAGAATTTGATTAAAAATTATGTTAGACATTCTAAGATATAGAAATGTATCTTATGCATGTAAAAATCATAGGCATATTTGTTTTTAGATACTTTGTCTCAGACATTAGCTATCTGTCATTTATAAGTAGACTGGCAGTTGTATTTTTGAATATTGTAATATCAGATTTATCAGACATTGGGGTTTTAAGCTGTGGTAGGACTTGGGTTACAGATGGGTTAGCATTGACACGATCAAATATAAGTTAACAACTGGGGCATAATCTGACACTCCTTTGTTAAGAAGATTCCATTGTTGTGGCATTATTGGACAGTGGTGTGACACATTACAAAATTAGCTCCCATTAGTACAGATCAAACAAGCCATATAGGCCATATTTTTAGACATGATTTCATTGTTAAAGGGGCTACATAAGGAATTACTTAACTAAATACGTGGTCATACATCTCACTAGCTGACTAAAGAAATTGTGCTTTAGCATATGATGATGCTTGGAATTAGCAAATTTCTCAGCTATTGAAAAAATTGAGACTATACAAAAATAGGTACAGTCCATCGTATATTAAAAAATAGCTATTTATTTAAAAGTTTTTAATTAAGAAACACAGTTTTTGTGTGTGCGAAGGTACCTCATTTAAATCAACACACAGCTGAGTTTTAAATCTGAAATAAGAGGGTTCTGTTCTCGAATATGCTATTACTGTTTATAACTGAAGTACATGACCATCAATGTATCACTAAATAAATCAATTTTAAAATTGTTTTTGTAAATGGTTTTCTTAAAAACAAGTTTCTTTTACTCTTCAGATTAATGTTATTTTAAAAAACGGTAAATTAAAATATCCTAACATTTGTATAAAACTTTCTTTTGCCATCCTTATAGTTGATGAAGGACCAGGCCAGACAGGAATCAAAAGACCACAGTACACGGGTGTTATTCATGCTTTCCGTGCTATAGTCCAGTCTGATGGCTGGAAGGGGTTGTACAGAGGAGTCACGCCAAATGTTACAGGAGCAGGGTTGTCATGGGGACTTTATTTCTTTTTGTGAGCAGTCTGATTTTTTAATTAATTTAAAGACATAGTGTAATTTTGTTTCCATCAAAATATGCTTTTTTAAATAGTAGTTTATAAGCTGTCGTTGCCTTAAAAATACAGCACTCATTATTTATCAGTTTATTAGTAAGCAGAGAAATGTTGTATATATTTTTCTTGCTACATGACAGGTGTGGTGTAATAGCATATTTTGTGTTATGTAAATTGTGTTGACATTTGGGGATAATGTTTATTTTTAGTTACAACACAACCAAAACCTGGATGCAGGATGGGGATACAACTAAAAACCTTGGTCCAGGGAATCATATGTGGATTGCTAGCTTTGCAGGTCAGTGCATTAATAATGGACTTACAAATACATAACTGCCAGATGGAGCTGAACGAAACAATTAATGTTACTTAATGTTAGTTATCTATTAAAACTTGATTTTAAAAAATCCAATTTGAAAAAGAATTCTCGCTGAATGCAAATTTTTAAAACCAGTTTCAAAAGAAAGCAGAAACAACTGCTGAGTATCAAGTAGGAAATACAATTAAAAGTTATCAGTAGGAGTTTTGCTGTCTTATTGGTCTACCTCAATTGTTCCAAATTTGGGTTGTGTTGATGTTAAGATTTTAAAAAATATTTCTCATTGTTTTAATTTGCTTTATTTTATTACCGCTTTCTTCACTGGCGTTACTGATTATATATCAGGCTCAATGAAATTTTTTGCTTTCAGGGTTGGCAACTCTAAGCTTAACAAATCCAATCTGGGTCTCCAAGACTCGCATGTGCCTACAGTACGGCACCCCAGGGAATGTACATTTTGTTGGCATGTGGGAGACTTTAGCCAATGTTTACAAATATGAAGGTGTTCGTGGGCTCTACAGGGTACGCATTTTTGTCACTTATTATTTTTTGTTGATATCTATGTATCGGTTGCATGGGTTATTGAATGCCTGAGGTGTTAATCAACATTGTATGTTTATAAATGTTTGTCAGACTTTACCATGAAAACATTTTAAACAGGACTTTATCAATTTTATTTAATGAAACGTTTTGAAAATGAAAACATGGAGTCCTTAACATAGATGCATAAAAAATTTTGTTCATGATAAAAACATGGTCTTAATTAAATGTAACAAAGCATCGCAAATAAATCTTTTAGGACAAATCTGTTCTAAAAGCATATTTTATAAATGTAATGATTAAACAATTATTTTTGTTTGGTTTTAAAACTTTTCTTTTTATAATTTGTAACCCAGGGTTATGTGCCAGGGGTATTCGGCATCTCCCATGGTGCCTTGCAGTTTATGACTTACGAAGAAATGAAAACCTTGTATAACAAACACAGAAACCAGCCATTGGACACCAGACTGGTAATCAGTGCTTTCAATTTGAATTGGTTGTAACACTTGTCATGTGTGCTCACATTAATGTATCTTATCCTTGTAATTTTTTTTTTTTACTTTTCAGCTTATGTTATCTTTAGATCTAACAATTGAAGAGCTCAGTGGAAAATGTACTTGTTACAATTTTTCAAAAATGCATATTTGTTAGCATTACCTAAAGAACCCCTGGGTTTTTTGGGAAAAGTACCCAAGTGATTTAATTTAAATAAAACTGTTGAAAAATACTAGATATTTATACTTCATTAAAAAAAAAACTTCAAACTCATTTTTTCCACTGGGCCATTCTAATGTTTTATAATATACAAACTTCATCCATGTTTGTTTCTTTTTATTTTTCTGCCAACTTTTATCTTGTTTTGTTCATTCCCTAGACATCAGCAGAGTACTTGACCTTTGCAGCCTTGTCCAAGATGGTGGCAGCTGCCACAACATACCCGTATCAGGTTGTAAGGTCAAGGTTGCAGGACCAGCACAGGCAGTACAGTGGAGTCTGGGATGTGGTGAAACAGATCTGGGTGTAAGTCTGCTGTAGTCTGATAGAGCACAGTATGCCATATGAGGGGGACACTTAATAAAGGGAACTTTCCATATTATCTTCTGACACTACCTCAACTAGGGCCCCAGTAGCTTAAACTCCATTTAAGTGGTAAAAAGTTATTTTAAAAATGCAATATAATAAAGGTGAGCAGGAATGCATATATTTCAAAACAATATACTATTCATATTTTTACTAAGAATAAAATTTGGTCAAATGTCATGTACACAAAAGTATACACTGGTTAGGAAGGAGATACAAAGTATTCACGGATATAACTTAGAGTGCAACAGCTAGTATCATTTTAATAATTGTATTTTGCATTTTAAACATACACATAGAAAATCTACCTTAAGGACAGGCAACTAAATTCCCTTAATTATTTAAGTCAAAATTAATTTTTTAAAGCAACTAAATTCATATAATCATGCAAGTCATAATTAATATTTTAAAAGATGGCTAGGACCATTTAAAAGTGTACTCCTCACATGTGATACTATAATGCTTTTAAATATTAATTTAGTTATTTTATTTATTTAACTGTTTTTAAAAAGGAAGCATAACATTTACTAAATGTTGGTTAGACTTAGAAACCCTTGTGTCAGGCTGTAAATGTTTGCATGAGACACCCAAAAAACCAAACACTATTATGGGATGGGGTGAAGTATAAGAATGGCCTTATTACCCCGAGAGCCACTGAGTAAACCTTTCCCGCAGGCGCGAGTCTTTCCGTGGGCTGTTCAAGGGCCTGAACGCATACATGATCCACATCGTTCCCAACATCATGATTGTGTTTGGGATCTACGAGGCTGTGCTCAACCTCCACGCGGAGCTGGAGGAGGACATGGCCAGTGCTGAGGACAACTGAATTCTGGGTAAGTTTGTGTTTTCTTCTATATCGGAACTATTCTCTAGAACTCTAAAATGTTGAAGTAGAATTAAACATTGATTTTTAAATTTTTACATTCGTACTCTAAACACAGCATATATGTAAAGTAGGTTGAAGTCTTGATTTATATATTTTACAAATTAAATTTTACTCTTAAAACAACTGGTGAACTCTACGTCACTTGCCTTGTTAGCTCTAGGTTTAAAAGAGAACTTAACATTACTTCTTACTTATAGTTGAAGAAAAATATTACTTAGATTAATGGTTCACAACTAAACTGTACTATAAAATATGTAAAGTAGGTTGAAGTCTTGATTTATATATTTTACAAATTAAATTTTACTCTTAAAACAACTGGTGAACTCTACGTCACTTGCCTTGTTAGCTCTAGGTTTAAAAGAGAACTTAACATTACTTCTTACTTATAGTTGAAGAAAAATATTACTTAGATTAATGGTTCACTACTTAACTGTACTGTTTATTTGACCTAAAATAAAGAATATACTATTGAAATAAAATTCTTTTGCATAAATATTGTAGGGAAGTTCACTGCAATAGTAGTGTGAGTTCAATGTGGGGATTCTTTGTTTAGATTGTGTCAGTTGCACTCAATACATTAATGACATACAATACATCACTGGTATTATTAGCCTTGGAAAGATGCTACTTTGATTCTGTTTATTTTTTTTAACTTTGAGTAGCCACAAAAAATATATATCGTAGTTTGGGTCTGATGTTGGTTAGATGTCTAAGATAAAACTAAGAGTTGGTGTAGTGACAATAGAATCTTGTTGGTACATAGAATTTCTTGTCAACATTTTTTTAACAATGAATATTTCTTTATGTCAAAAGTTGTAGTAAGTGCACTTTCAGACCTGATGGCTCATAGAACAGATGGAGTAGAGTTCACCTGAATTTATGACCTTCCTCAATGTAAGGTTGTGTGGTCAACTATTTCCAGCTGCCTTTACTTGACCTGAGTCAAGTACCCATCAAAGATGTGTGGACTCAAGAAGTTGTATTTACTATAGCCCTGTAGCCAAGAGTGAGACTTTCAGTTAGCAGTTATGGGCTCTACTGCTTAAGTTCATCCCTTATTTTGTTTTTTAGTTAATTTTTTCTTTACCTGCTATATTTCATTGTCTAGAGATGTGTACCAACAAGATTTTAATGTTAATAACTGTTTGCACTACAAATACATTTATAAGTGAAATAAAACTACATGTAATGTAGTCTAGTCTAATACATCAGATATCATGGACATACAATTTGTACAAAGCAACTCCAGTAGCAACTATAATTATATTCTAGCAACTATAATTATATAGTTATATATAAGTTTTTCTTCTTGAAAAAAATTAAGCCATGAATGACTAGCTAATTTTTTGCAATAAGTTGCTTCATTTAAGAAAAATTATTGTGTTATACATCATCTTAGTCTTTGTTGAGTAAAGAAACAATTTAAAATTATGAAGTAAAAAGACTAATTATTTAAAAAAAAACATTTTCTAACAAGTTTAAGTCCAGTCCAATATTATAAAGTATCTTTAATGTATGGTTAGTGAACTAAGTGGGGCTTGTTTTTAAATGTTACCTCGGATGAAACTTATTTTTTTTACATTTATTTTGTTTTATTGCACAGCTTTTTACTGAAACCCTAATTACTGGAACAAGAAAGCAGCTTGAATGGAATCTTCTAGATGGACTAATAGCTTTTCCCAAGATTTTTTAAATACCTTTCATTGTATGTTTTGCTCTTGTACAAAGAGTGGCAGGTATCTGGGTAGATACACTGGAATTCTTGTCTTTGTGGTAGTTATTTCATTTTGGTAACTACATGTTAGTGGTTTATGAAATTTTTTTTAATGTAAACAAATTTCAATGCAATTTTATTTATTTGAACAGAGACATGTAAATAAAATATTTTGTGACTTTTTTTTTAACAATTTTGAGTGAACATCAAAAAAACATTTGGTGCAAATTCTTTTAAATGAGATTTTAATTTTTACTTGTTTTAATTTGAAGAGTGATTGGTGTTTTTCATTTGTGCGGTAAGTAGTCATCACACTATTTAGTAATGATGCTTTTAGTTTTCTTGTTTTCATGTTTATCATGATTGTTCTAACAGATACATGGCCAGTATAATGCCATAATCACTTTCAGTTTTTATCTGAATTTGCTAAGATGTGGGTTGTACTAGTGAACACTGAATCAAGACAGTGTGTTGTCCTAGTGTTTTCTTGAGGATTGTGTCTCTATCACTGGGACAAAAAATAGTATTATTAGGCAACTACAATGTTGTTTACAGAACAAATGTTTTTCTTGTGCTATTGTCACAAATGTATACATTCCAGTCATATTTATAAAGACTATTTTCAAAATAAGATTTAATAAGGTGAGAATTATTTTACCATGAGATTCTATCTTTTCTGTTGTTTTTTTTCAAATGGCAGAAAATGACTTAAAATGAAATGGTTTATTTATAAACATGTTCCATTGTAATTTAAATACCATGAAGTGTCTGACATATCACATTCTCCACTCTCTCTCTACACTTTTTAGCAGCATTATCATTTTTATCTCCACATTTTTTGTCACTGGTCTCAGTGTAAGATTTATAACATACTCGTATGGTTTTATATGAGGTCATATTTTAGAGACCATCATACTTTAGTATTAGCAGTTTTAAAAACTGTGTGTAACTTAATATTGCACTCATGCTATTAATTTATTTTTATAGGCAATCGATAAACTTTATGAAATATGTAAATAGAAGATAGTTGTGTAAATAGTTAAAAGAAATTATTTTTGGTTGAATGTATTTGTTAAGGATAGTTTTGATAACTTTGCTGCGTTAGAATTGTTGTGAACAAATACTTTTATAAGCAGTCTTTCATGAGATATTGCACCATTTGTAGTTGTTGAAATCCATGATATGCATCTTTTCTTTCAACTGGTACAGCAGTTTTGTATCTCAGTCAAAATTGGATTCATGTTTTTATTTTTTTTTGTACTCAAAATGTTACATGTTTCTCATTGTGTATAACATGTTTTCTTTATTGTATTTTTTTTTTTGTAATTCATTGTCTATTGTTCTCATCACATTTTTCTGTAAGATTTTCTTAAATGTTTTTTTTTTAATTTTTCGAAAAGATAAAACAGAAATAAAGTATTTTTTCTTGTATGTGCAATTGATCTTTCAGAATTTTTTCTTCACTTTTTAATTGAATTGTAGGATGTTAGCCGTATTTGAAAGTATGAAATTTAATTCTACCTACTTAACATAATGCAGTAAGAGCTGATCTCTTTCTTTAGCCAATGGCGGAGCTGTACTCATATTGGATCCTAGGGGCCCAGTCAATATTTCAGCTCTTATCTATATCTATAGCCTATGGTGGTTGTCCTCAGTGTCACCATCTACCCCTTGTATTTATTTACACCTGTCAAAGTGACATATGTCAAAGTGACCTTGGTCTCCACAAGATTGTTTCAATCAGTGACTTGTAGACTCACCAATATCAGCACTACCTACAGGTGTATGATTGCTGTTAAATTTGAAGCTGAATCTTCCCAACGCTCATTGACAATCATGCATAATGCAAAATCATATTTGAATATAAATATGTATTTTATTGAAAAAGTGTATGTAGAAATAGTTTGCTACTTTAGGGTAATTAGGTTTAACTAACCCGGACTGTTGTTTCCTTTGATTATATAGATTTTTGTTTAAAAAATAAACTAAAATTTATTTATTGCTTTGTTGTTGTTTTTGTCTAATTTTTATAAGTATTAAAAAAAGAATGCTAAAGAAATCAAATTTTCTTTTGTCTTACAAATAGTTCTGGCATAGTGCTCTGAAAATAGCAGAAAATGACCATGGGTTGTGAGTTATAACTGTTGATATGCCTGTAGATAAATATTTTAATTGTATCTTTTGCTATGGTCTTGTAAGATTACTAGATTTTAACTCTTAAACTAAAACACATATCTCCTACTCTTAAAAGTTTAAGACAGTAATTATCTCCCATTTTACTCTTGCAGATTTGAAGGTTTGTATGGATACTACAAAGGACTTCTGCCAAATCTCTTGAGAGTCACTCCTGCATGTGCTCTAACATTCTTTGTCTATGAATCCATCATCACCTTCCTTGGCCCAGATAAAAAAAGCTAACTCAGAAGCCAATTCAGAACTATTAAAATTGCTGTGAAGAGTGTTTGTAGTGGATTACTGTTCAAGTAGTGTAATGTTCATGCTGTTAAAGTGGACAAATGGATCGTTTGTGCACACATGGGATGGTCAAATGCAAGCTAAAAACTTTTGAAGAAATTTGTGATATTCTGTGATGTGAAAAAGAACCGAGTGATAAAATTAGAAATTTCGTTAGAAAAGTATAATCCACATATAAGTTATTTGTAATTTAAAAATTTCTGTGCCTCTTATAGTATACGAGCCGACCTGCTGCGTATCATACGCCGCTATTTAGTTGTTTTTTTTCTACTTTTCAGTAATTTATAATTTGTGAATTCGACAGTACCAATGCTGCCACTGAAAATATTTGCTTAAAAACACTAACCCCCCCCCCCCCCCCCTTCCCCCCCCCCCCCCCCCCCCATCCCCCATTCCCCCCCTCCCCCCACGTGAAAGCAGCCTCCTCTGAGTTACCTCCTCTAAGTTTAAAATCGTTTCAAACTAAATTATCTGCCCCTAATAGCCGTCACCAAACCCGTCTCTATGATTGTAAAATGTAAACAGCGTGAACCACAGCTCACCAGACTATGTGAGGGGGTGAGGGGGTGGGGGGGGGTGGGGGTGGTAGCGATAGAGAGAAAGAGAGGGGACTGTAAGGCGCTTGCAGCTTGTTTTCTATCGGCTCCCAGAAGAGAATTATATATATAGATAATATATAATGTTTAGAATAAATTAAAATTATGCAAATTTAGCTGGTTTCAGTTAAATTTAATTTTACATTCATTTATTTTTTTAATTTTTTTTTTGTTATTCTAGATTTTGTAATTGTTTCTTAAGGGGATATGCGCGGAAAAAAAATCACAAAATTTCTTGTTTTTCGTCATGATGGGTTTCTTGCACTTTTGGATACTTTGTCCATTTTTGTATAAAGAAAATAATAACTTTAAAGAGAAAAAAATATTTTAGGTGTTTGAATTACGATTTTTATGACCCTGTTAATTAAAAAATAATCAATTTTTCCCAATCTTACAAGCTCTCTATGAAAAGTTTTATATCCGCCATTATATTGTATTTGACATCATTGGAAAGCAGGATTTCTCGTGTATTTAATAAACTTAATTTCCTACATCTTGGAAACACCCAAAGCTTACAATCGGCTTTGCAGTTTACACAGATATGGTACTTTCCTGACCTAGTTTTCGTTACTTTAGGCTGTTTTTCTCAGTTCGCAGGTTTTTAACACTAAAAAGCCTACTACTTTTTTATTTATTAAACAATGCCAACCATATTTTCAGTAAATGTTCTTCATGCGAAAATACAACTTTTGTCACGAGGGAATTGTGATTGCTTTCATAGAAAAAAAGTATTTGGTAATTAATATGCACATTTTGAAACTTTTGAATACTAAAAAGGGTACGATTTTTTAGACCTTGTAAAATTCTTACTAGTAATTATTTCAAAAAGTTGTCGTGACAAAAGTTTTAATATATACTGAAATATAAGCAGTTTAAATGTTATTGCTATATGTGCATAAATAAAAAAGCCTTAGTATTTTTAAAAGTACCGAAAAATTCAAAATGGCGGAGGTTTTTTGGGTTTCCATGACAACCAAAATTGTTTTCGACCTTTTTTTTTCCTGTTTAATACTTACTTGTATATGCCAAATATGATAAAAGTATTCAAAAGGCTTTAGATCTTAAAGTGTAAAAAATAGAAAAAAACAGCATATCCCCTTAAGTTAGCCAGTTTATTTCAATTCAGATTTTTTTTTGGGTTTAGTGACTTCACTCAAAATACATGCATCATAAAATTTTAAATAATTCTTTCAGAAATAAAACCTAACTCTGATTCAAGAAATAAATCAAACAAATGACATATTAACAAAGATTATCTTCAGATTAATTCCATTATAATAACAGCCTTTCTGTGTTAAAATCTGAAGACTTTATCTGAGACATGTTTTGTTTTGTTTTCTTGAAGTTTTCAAATATTCTGGTGTTTGAAATAGTAACGAGTCAAGCTGATATCTTGTATGTTAGTATTTCCTTGTTGTCCCTTTATATGGGTTTTGGTTTAGTATTTGAACTGATCATCCTCCAATATTGCACAAATGCTTAGTACAAATGTTAAAGAAATTTTAAAAAATGTATGGTGCTGAAATAATAAAAATGTTAGTTTTAAAAATATTAAATTTGTTACAAAAAAAGTAAAGCGAATGCACAAGAATGTGCATTGTCTGATATTGCATGAAAAAAATGTATGCTTGTTTGTAGCTGTATTGAACAGAAAGTTAATCATAGAATTTTTTTTTAGTTTGTTCTTTTGACTAATAAAAAGATATGTAGGCCTACTTAAAACAACTAGAACTTCTTTAAACAGTTCTGTATGTTTTCTATAATGATTAACCAGAATTTGTCATAATACTAATACATGTGTTACTGTTTTATTTTAAGATGTAACCTTGCCCAAAGTTTATTTCTTTGTTATTTATAAAAATTTTGAATATAGTTCTAGGACCTAGGTACTGTATCTATACAAATTTTAGCTAAAAAAATGTTTTGAAAAAAAACAACTGTCTGTTCTGTTTATAATGAGAAATTCAATTACAGTATTATTATTGAAAAATGTGCTGTTGCAAGTCAAGGTGTCAGATGATTATTTGATAAACTTGCAACTTTTCTGTGTTAGTAATTAATTTATGGATGATGTAAAATATTTTTATAAGTTGAAGTAGTTTCATTTTGTCCATCATTAACCAGTTTTTTAAACTGTTCATTTTGTATTAAAATAAAATAAAAATCTCAAAGAATCACTCGATTTAGAAATTAACTTATTTATTTGAACATGAATATAGCAAAAGGGTTGGATGAAAATTATAATACAATCATTTAAAATACAATAGAATAAACTGCTGCCTGTTTAGTCAGGAAAAAATGGCTCAATATTTCCACATGCTCAGCTTTTTATGATCATAGCATCTAGAGGTTTTACATCATCCTTAAGGGAGATAAGGTGACCAGCCATATTAAAATGTATCCCTTTGCACCATAACTTATTATATGGGCGGGGACGGGGGATTGATTTTTTTAAATAATTTAATTTAACCATTTCTAATTATTTATAAGTGCACATATTTATGGTTGAGATTTAAAAAAAAATTGTCCAAGTTTCTCAAAAACACAATAGGACGAGTTAATAGTAAAACAATAATTACTAAGGAACTATTTGATTTTTAACAGTCTTTACCACTGAAACTAGGGTTAACTCTTTAAAAAATAACAACCGACATCAGCTTTAAGTACTACATGATTTAATAGGTGGTGGAGCATCCCACATAACTATTTTTGGAATCTCGCAGATCCTTACATTGATGTTCAAAATGTTACTGCATGATAAATCAATGTAAGACTTTCAACAGCCCAACGTTTACATAAAAATAATTTAGGGTTACATTAAGCTGTTATTTAGTGAGATTGTTTGTGGTTTTACATATAACCGCAAACATTTTCTGCCTTCCAAATTCTTCTAGTGGACTTAAAAGTTATATGAAAATATATCTGGTACTGTACAAGTTAAAAATTAGCAAAGTAATGACAAAACAATTTTTTTACAAAGAGAACATTTCCTTCTACAAACTATAAAATGCTTCATGTAATTCTCAATGGAAATAGTTTAAACTTTACAGAGCATGAAGTAAAAAACATGTATCCAACAGGTTACTCAAATATTTTAATACAAAAAAACAAACTCTAATGCAATCTCTATCACACAAATCATGCTGTATTGACTATCCAATAACTTGGGTTGCACAACACTTTGGATACTACACACTGACTAGAAAAAACATTCCTAGCATCTAGCACTGCCATCCAAAGCAGAAATGTACAAAAACACTTAAATTAGATCATATTTCCTCATTGGCCCAGTAAAGCAACATTTATTTTAAAACAAGTGTTATATATTAAATCATTGACAATGCATTATAACAAATCCTTGACAATGTATAGACAATTTTTTTATAGGGGAAGTAGCAAGCAAAATATATTTTTACATGTCAACATTAATGTTAATGTACAAAGCTGAAATACAGAATTGTCAAGTTTGGCAGTGGGTTGGAACTAATAGTCCGTTAAATGCTACTTATGTCCAGAGTTTATTTACACAGATTTTTTCAGCCTTTTCCTGCCGTCTTCAGAGACCACAGTTGTCATAGAAGCAATCCGTGAGCTGGTTCTGGAGGGGGTGGTGGAGGGATCTGGAATGGTTGGTGAGGGTCCATTTCTGGACCTGGGTGATGATGTGGCCATGGGGAGCCGACTGGTTGATGTGCCTGGCTCTAGCTTTGGTTTCTTCAGAGCTGGCTCTGTCTCAGCCTGGGATCTGGCAGGTTGCTTACCTCCCTTGGTTGGACTTCCCATACCTTAATAATAAAAAAAAATAATTTTGTACTTTATTAAAGAAATGAATACATTGGAATTATAATGATTATATATTTCAATAATTTCTATACCTAATCAATACAAAAATGACTTAAGTCCTTCAGAAAAAAAATTACATAGGCATTAAATATCTCAATTTCTATTTAAAAAAATAATCATTTTCAAAGGTACACTATATTGCTTAAAATATCGCATGCTAGAAATGGTTGATTAGTAGAGCTTTAAATTTATAAATGCGTATTATCATTCATAATATCTTTTTAGTGTTGAGTGAACCAAGGGGCAAAACACAATAAATTATAATAATTAAAAGGAAACAGATTTGACAAGATTCTTTAAAGAGATAATGTATGTTTATAAGCATAGCTGATAAACAGCCATATAATTGATGTTAGTAGCAGTGTTAAATCAGATGTCTTGAGATCACAAGGTGAAGACAATAGAGTACTTCATCCAATGATTGAGGTCTGAGGTGCCACTCACCCAACTTCCTTTCCACCTCCTTGAGCCTAGTCTCCGCCTCCTTACACTCTCGGTACTTCTCCATTGTTTCTGGAACTTTCTGCAGGTTGATCTGCTCCTGGAGTTCATCTTGTGACTGAATGCTGGTCAGCAGGGCATTTTTGTATTTCTCGAGAGTTTCTAGAACAAAACATTTCTCATGCTTTAGTTTATTTGCAGAGGAAGAACTATGTCTAAACTTAAGTTGTAGCTACATTAGGTCACTTGAAAATAACTTCTTGTTTTATATACATTTTATTATGAATCTGCATTTAAAAAAAACCCCAAAAAAAAACATATTTAAACAACATTCCGGTGCAATCAATGAAAGAAAGCACTGAAAATATTTTCATTATTTTTGTTGTTTATTTTTGAGTTTTGCACTGTCAGCAACAAATATTATTTACTTTTCAAATCACTATAAAATAAGAGGGGAATGGCATGGTCAAAATGTAGAGATCACATCTGCCTACCAGAAAACCTAAAGTTTGGATATTGAAGTCCATAGTACGCCATAGAGTCCACCCAGCTCTGATGGGTACCTGACTAATATTAGGGAAACTAAAGCCGGTGAGCATAGTGCTGACAGAACTATCTCCTTTTTTGCCAAGGTAATTGAAGCAGATATACTCTACTTCATCTGCCCTGTGTCTTGAGTTCGAACGGGAAAAGATGATGATGATTAAAAAATAAAAGAATTCACAACACCTATTAAAAAAAAATTCCAGAAAACTTCCTTACCAATTTGTGTACAGAGAGCATGATAAGCTATGGGCAGAGGCTGACCAAACACACTGCCTTTTAACTTGTCCATGGGTGGGGCTTTGTTCATGGCACCCCCAAATTTACCATTGCTGCGGATACGGTCTCCACTGATGGTTAAGATGGTGGGACAGTGTGTGTATTTTATTATCTATGCAAATATAAATAAAATTTGGTTAGGAATTACCTTAATACAGGGCATGTATTTTAAATTGTTAGAAATTGGTTAAAAAATAACCATTTGTTTTTAACTAACAGCCCACTTACACGTGTAGTTTACAGGTCAGTAACACTTATATCATACAGGTAAATAACACCTATATCATACAGGTAAAAAACACTTATATCATACAGGTAAATAACACCTATATCATACAGGTAAAAACACTTATATCATACAGGTAAATAACACTTATATCATACAGGTAAATAACACTTATATCATACAGGTAAATAACACCTATATCATACAGGTAAATAACACCTATATCATACAGGTAAATAACACCTATATCATACAGGTAAATAACACCTATATCATTACAGCTAACTGCAACATGTGTGCTACAGGTCAATAACACCTGTTGCCCACAAGTCACTTACTTCTTGTCTGTACAAGTTGGCGTGGTCAAGGTTGTCCAGGATGAGGGTATCACCCAGCAGCATGCCAAACACTGAGGACCAGAAAACATTAGGTGTCACGGTTACATTGTACATTTGATAGTAACAAAACATCTTGTAGCAAGTGGGACCAGAAAGCATTAGGTGTCACGGTTACATTGTACATTTAATAGTAATAAAACATGTTGTAGAAAGTGGGACCAGAAAACATTAGGTGTCACGGTTACATTGTACATTTAATAGTAACAAAAAATCTTGTAGAAAGTGAACATCAAACAGTGAGGACCAGAAAACATTAGGGGTCACGGTTACATTGTACATTTGATAGTAACAAAAAATCTTGTAGAAAGTGAACATCAAACAGTGAGGACCAGAAAACATTAGGTGTTACGGTTACATTGTACATTTAATAGTAACAAAAAATCTTGTAGCAAGTGAACATCAAACAGTGAGGACCAGAAAACATTAGGTGTCACGGTTACATTGTACATTTGATAGTAACAAAAAATCTTGTAGAAAGTGGGACCAGAAAGCATTAGGTGTCACGGTTACATTGTACATTTAATAGTAATAAAACATGTTGTAGAAAGTGGGACCAGAAAACATTAGGTGTCACGGTTACATTGTACATTTAATAGTAACAAAAAATCTTGTAGAAAGTGAACATCAAACAGTGAGGACCAGAAAACATTAGGGGTCACGGTTACATTGTACATTTGATAGTAACAAAAAATCTTGTAGAAAGTGAACATCAAACAGTGAGGACCAGAAAACATTAGGTGTTACGGTTACATTGTACATTTAATAGTAACAAAAAATCTTGTAGCAAGTGAACATCAAACAGTGAGGACCAGAAAACATTAGGTGTCACGGTTACATTGTACATTTGATAGTAACAAAAAATCTTGTAGAAAGTGAACATCAAACAGTGAGGACCAGAAAACATTAGGGGTCACGGTTACATTGTACATTTGATAGTAACAAAAAATCTTGTAGAAAGTGAACATCAAACAGTGAGGACCAGAAAACATTAGGTGTCACGGTTACATTGTACATTTAATAGTAACAAAAAATCTTGTAGAAAGTGAACATCAAACAGTAATGAAAAATCATGTCTAAGTCTAAATGAATTAAAAAAAAAATATATCAGTATATCTGGAAAACAGAGACAAATGTGAGTGACAATATTACAAGATTTGAAACAAAATGTAAGCGATTATTTCAGGATTGGATACAGATTTACTTGCAGAATTTGTGTACATTAATAATATCCTCATTAGGTATGGACATTTTGTATTTAAAATTTTTCCAGGATAAATATTTAGCCAACAATAAGAAAATATTTTTAAAACATTTTGCTTCGACAATAAACTTATTTTCCCCAGTGAAATTATTGATTTATGTGGGAAAACCAAATATGTAATAAAGAACAGAATAAACATTTGAAGTGCAACATAATATCTTACCAACTTTACAACTTTCTTCATCTTTTGTAAACTCCAGCAAATTTCTGGCATAGATTGGGTTCCCTGCTGGTCTATAGCTAGAGTTGTACCTGACATGGGGCAGGGGTCTGCAAGATAAATACAACAGTTACCTTTCAGTTCATTCAGGTATATTTTAATTTAGATCAGACAAGCTATGTGATTTTCTTAGATAAATGCCATTTAACTGAAAGTTAATTCAAGTATCTTTTTTTGACCACATAAGATCTGCATGGTAAATTCCATGCCAAACCAATTTTACTTTTCCAGGTAAGGTACCCTATAGAACTGAGTCGACTTCCTACAAAGCTAAGAATTCAAGATCTCACTTTTAGGTTAGATACCCATTAGAACTCAGTCAAATTATCGAGTTCCTACAAAGCTAAGAATTCAAGATCTCACTTTTAGGATATCAGTTTTCTATCAGACCATTCAACAGCTATCTTAATCTATTTACATAAAAAAACCTTAGGTCCACAAGAGAAATACAAATGTTTCAATATGTACTTTATTAGTATGATAAAACAACAGCTATCCACTTACTTGTCCCATTCAGGCAAATTTTTTCTATAAATAGAATCCAAGGGTAGAACTTGTTGCTTCCCTTGAGTTCTTTGGTAAATTTCTTTGGCCTGTCAAATATAAGTTTTTTAAAACTGGATTTCAATAAATGTTTAAAACTATAAATAGGAAATGAAATGCAGCTTTATTTTAGTTTACAATGTTAATTTTCTAAAGAAATGTTTAAAACTATAAATAGGAAATGAAATGCAGCTTTATTTTAGTTTACAATGTTAATTTTCTAAAGAAATGTGTGATGGTGTTACCTTTTGCGTCGTCAGTGTGACGACACAATCCATGTCAGCTGACATGTGCCATGACAAAACTCTAGCAATGTCATCCTGGTGTACTAAAGCCAAATGAGCAATCTGCAACAGAAACAAAACACTATGAACCCAAGACACCAGTTCTTAAAACCCTGAGCATACTTGTCTGGTAAAAGAAAAACTATCCCTCCCTTACTAAGGAACAAATTTACATTAGATAATTTAACAATTGACTTTTGTTAGACTGACGAGTTGTAATGTTATTACTCAAAACAAGAACTAGGTTAAAAAATTTTTTAAAACGAAGATGTAAAACAAGTATCAAGACCCTTATAATAACAAGATTTAGATTTTGATTGTGAAAACCTGTTTCAACAAAACTACTTATTTGTGTAACTAGCACAATAAAAAGTGAATCTAAAGTGTTTACCTTTCCCAGAACATCACCATCACTGTCAGCATGTAACAATGCACATGTTCTTCTTGGTGCTTTCAACACTTGTTCTCTTTCTTTGATTCTTGCAGAAATTAATTTGTCAACAGTCTCCACCTGTGAGACAAGTGAAATTGGGATAAACAAATTTCTACACAACATAATATTTCTCACATATATTGCACATCAGACTATTATTATTTTAAATTGAAATAAGAAAAAAAAAGAGATATTGAAAAGTAAAACAAAAAGACAACCAGCAAGTTAAACAGACAACCCCAACACTTACAGACTGCAGTTGGTTGCTGGGGATGTTTTGTTTTCTCAAATCTCCCCTCAGTGTCTGCTCTTCTTTCTGTGTTTCATGTACAACATCTGAAATACACATTTTATAATGTTTTCTTTCTTTGTTTCATGTACAACATCTGAAATATAACAAATGTTATAATTTTTTTCTTTCTGTGTTTCATGTACAACATCTGAAATATAACAAATGTTATAATTTTTTTCTTTCTGTGTTTGATGTACAACATCTGAAATACAACAAATGTTATAATGTTTTCTTTCTTTGTTTCATGTACAACATCTGAAATATAACAAATGTTATAATTTTTTTCTTTCTGTGTTTCATGTACAACATCTGAAATATAACAAATGTTATAATTTTTTCTTTCTGTGTTTCATGTACAACATCTGAAATACAACAAATGTTATAATGTTTTCTTTCTTTGTTTCATGTACAACATCTGAAATATAACAAATGTTATAATTTTTTTCTTTCTGTGTTTCATGTACAACATCTGAAATATAACAAATGTTATAATTTTTTCTTTCTTTGTTTCATGTACAACATCTGAAATATAACAAATGTTATGTTTTCTTTCTGTGTTTCATGTACAACATCTGAAATATAAAAAATGTTATAATTTTTTTCTTTCTGTGTTTTATGTACAACATCTGAAATATAACAAATGTTATAATTTTTTTCTTTCTGTGTTTGATGTACAACATCTGAAATACAACAAATGTTATAATGTTTTCTTTCTTTGTTTCATGTACAACATCTGAAATACAACAAATTTTATAATGTTTTCTTTCTGTGTTTCATGTACAACATCTGAAATATAACAAATGTTATGTTTTCTTTCTGTGTTTATGTACAACATCTGAAATATAACAAATGTTATAATGTTTTCTTTCTGTGTTTCATGTACAACATCTGAAATATAACAAATGTTATGTTTTCTTTCTGTGTTTCATGTATATCTGAAATTCAACAACAGTATTACAAGACAAAATACTATAGTGTTTTACAATTAGTTGCATAGATTTGTATAACCAGTTTTAGGGATAAACTAAGCAAAAAAGAATAGTTGAAAGAAAGACAGAAACCCTTGAGTTGTACAATAAGTTAAGTAGATGTGTTTGATCTTGTTTTAGGTACAAACAGAACCAACAAGGAAGCCAAAGACAAGTTACCCCTAAGTTCTGGAATAAGTTGAATGGACATGTATGACCAATGGTTTAGTTACATACAACCAACAAAGAAGTTAAAGACAAGTTACCCCGAAGTTCTGCAATAAGTTGCTGCTGGGTCTCAAACATGGATTTGTATGCCCTGATTGTGTTCTGTAGGTTATCTCTTTCTTTGGACAGTGCTGCCATCTGTTGCTGCTTCTTGGCATCTGAAATGACATTTTACATGACATTTTACCACAGCTGAGCATCTGAGATTGAGCTGACATGACATTATAAATACAGATTCAACTGTATAACTGGATTTTTATTTAAAATTATTAGTATTTTACTGTTTTTAGCCAAGCAAATCACACACTTTTTTCCAGGGTATTTTTAGCATCTGAAATGGAACATGGCTATTAATTATAAATAATTATTATGTTTCTGATTAGCTCCTGAAATGGGCTAGCTTTCTATCTCTTGTTGGTAATATTTTTATAGAGGTAGCAACAGCATGTTAAGATATTTAAAAAAAATACAGGTGAAACTAAAACATCACTGTAATAAAACAATGTAAGTAACAAAGTATGAATACATATTTTAATAACTAAAAATCATTATCTCTTCATTATTTTAGCACTAGTTACTTCCCATGGTTATTGATTATCTTTCCATAACCACCTGTATATACCAGCAAGCAAAGAGGAATCAATACAGATAAGCCTGAAGTCTAGAAATAATTTATAACCAATTTCCCATCCTATTGATTTTATTGTCTTAGACACCTCCCTTAGTCTTTTGTATGGGGAAAATTTGGTAGGAGCTACACTGTAAAACTAACTCCAATAAGTATTTTCCTGAGTTTAAAACTACATCAGCATTTTCTTTTTTGAAGACTACTATAAAAAAAGGTTAGTCACAATATTTTATATAGTTATCTATTTCTAATGACACAACAAACTAGAAATGCAATAACTTTAAAAATCATTTTGATGACTGAAGAAAAAAATAAAAAAAATAAAATCAAAATGGTATTGGTTTTCTAGCATTCATTTTTCATAACATGACAGAAGGACATTAAAAGCCTTACAAAGTTTACTTCTCATGATACAAATGTTTAAACACATTCCTAGATATCAACTGATTGCTATTGTAATAGTTCAAATAGGAAAGTTGGTTTTTAAAAATTCAATGGATTTATTTTTTTAGATTATCCATCACTAGACTCTCAACTCACTTCACCCTAATGGCGCCTGGAATGAAACGGGTCCCACCAGACCTGGTGACTTTACATGAATTTGACCACCTCCCCAAGATGACCAGGCTTAGGGTTCAGGTATGTGCTAAGTGCTATTTGACAACCTCCACAAGATGTCCACATAGGGTTCAGATACGTACATAACCCCCTCCCCAAAATTGTACTCGCTGCTAGTTTTGCATACCCAAAATATAACATTACAGCTAAAGCATATTTAATTAAGTTACTGTTAACAACAGAAGTTCAAGCATTAAGAAAGTAAAAGATAATTTTTATTGTAGGTACTGCACAATAAACAGTGTAAATAAATAATAGCCCAAATCCTATAGTGCATAATGACAAATAAAAAAAAATCACATGATTTCTGCTGTAGGTGCTGACTAACTCTAAAGGATACCTAGAGTTGAATTTAAACAACAGAGAGCTGAGGATTGTTCCCCCTGAGACTTTCCAACTGATCGCTACACAGGTCGTGCGGCTGGCCAACAACTACATTGATTACCTGCCCACCATGATTGCATACCTAAGGGACCTCAGGTGGAGCCAAACACATTTTTAACAACATTTCTTATCTTTGTTACTCTAGTTACTAAGCCAAAAATATAGATAGCTTCTAGGGTTTGAGACTGTAGGATATTACTGAGGCTACTCAACTCTGGTAGGGGAAAGAAAATGTGTCTTGGAATATCACCTTGGTCAAAAGAAGTTTTATTTGATATGCCCAGTTAACAATTTAGTCCACCCCTCACAGTGTTATATGGTACACTATTTTGAAAACCTTATCTAAATTGTGTCTATTAAATTATCAAACATTTTACATATTTTGAAAGCAGTGACTATTTTAAAGAGACCAGTTCACAACTTTAAAAAGTACTGTCTTTTAAAACAGTTCAACTCTTTGTAATTATTGTCTAACTGTATGGGTGAAACAGAGTTTTGGACATGCAGCACAATCTCCTGACCACCTTGCCAGAGACTTTGGTCAACTGCCGGCAACTAGCCCAACTAAATCTGACAGCCAATCGTCTGACTCAGCTACCAAAAAGTATTGGGGGACTCAAGAAGCTGAGAATTCTGGAACTGGGAGAAAACCAGTTTGATCAGCTGCCACAAGAGGTAAATGGGCTTGTGGGGCTGTCCATACAAGAGGTAAATGGGGTTGTGGGGTTGTCCATACAAGAGGTAAATGGGGTTGTGGGGCTGTCCATATATGAGGTAAATCGGGTTGTCCATTAGAGAGGTAAATAGAGTTGTGGAGTTTTCCATACAAGAGGTAAATGAGGTTGTGACAGCTAACTCCTTAGGAAGGAGTGTCAATATGTGATGAGCAATAGGGGTTTAGGAAGTGTAACATCATACTTTTTCATTTCAAACAAGCTAATTTTTTAAAATTGAATTTCGCAATTTGAAAAAAATTCATCTAAAAGCATGTGATGATGCTAATATAAGATGATGGGACTGGTAGTATGGGGGACAAGAGGTTAATATAATTAGTTAAATAAATGTATCTGTAAACTAAAGTAAGCCTAACAAAATAAAAGTTACTTGCTGACTGTAAAATAAATCTAACATTTGATTTACTAACATGAATATCTCTACATAGGTTGGTGAGCTGACAAGCTTACGAGTTCTAGATCTCCATGGCAACAAACTATCACAACTTCCTTTCTCCCTGCAAGAGTTGCACCACCTATTGAAGCTTAATTTAAATGACAACATGTTGGACCATATTCCTTTGGTCATTACTAAAATCACATCCCTGCATGCACTCAGCTTGGCCAAGTAAGCAGTTTGTTAAAAACTTAAAACATTGCTTAGACTAGGTATTCGGTCAAATTCAAATTTGATATTGTGCCACTAAAATCCTGTCAAAGCACGGGAAAAGCACACATGTGCTATTATAAAAGCACAAAGAAATAAGCACATAAATGAAGATCTGAATAACAACAACAGTGTCATACTATAGAAAAGTTTAAAACAAAACACGAAATTAAATAATAAAACTATGAAGGACTAAATCACACTGGGAAATAATGCTCTTAAAAGTAAATGAATCTCAATACCTCCCAGCAAAAAGTAAAGAAGAAACAAAGAAGAAACAAAATAAATAAATATTTGAAAAATATTATGATCTTGGTAATGTAAAAACACTAGAGTTGATCAATAATCTATTATTCTCTAAAGAACATATTTTTCCATGCAATCCTCAACAGAAACAGACTGGCTGCCCTGCCCTCAGACTTTGACAAGCTGAAATGTCTGAGAGAGCTGAACCTGAGTGGGAACAGGTTCATATCAGTCAGCTCAATGCTGGTCTGTCTAAAACGTCTCCAGTACCTCAGTCTGGCCTCCAATGGGTTAAAATTTCTACCCAACCAGATGTCTGAACTACAGGTAAATAGTTGACCATTCTCTTTTTCCTAGTAAACTATTTAGTAATTACTAGTTAAGTACACATTTTATTAATAAACTTATTTTGTTATTTTACTAAACTATATTTTTTTTCCTAAAACTAATAAACTAGTTTTAACAGTACACTAAAACAATTTCCATGTGTCTCTTTCATTATCTTATGCAGTGATATTTTACATAGGAAATAATCATCTTTTGAATTTTATCCCCAGTTTATTGCTTTTTTCAGTACACATGGTACCCATTATAGGCAAATCCCACCCCAAAACAATTTTTAATCAACAATTTAATTGTATATTATATTTTCATTATTTCTATTGTGTTAATTATAGCTCAACCTTCTTTAACAATTACATTTAACAACTTATATTTGATTTATCATCAAATTGATCCATCAGAACCTCCAAGTGTTTAATAAATTTAACAACTTATATTTGATTTATCATCAACTTGATCCATTAGAACCTTCAAGTGTTACACCTTCAGGACAACAGTCTGCGCTATGTACCAGGACACCTGAAACAGCTGAGGTACTACAACGTCTCCAGAAACCAACTGACCAGCTTCTCTGTAGAGGGGATGAGATGTCTGGTTTCTCTAACTGCTTCCTGTAAGTTGGCTGTGTCATGTGTGGTCATTGTATTGGCTTTTTGGTCATCTGGATGTTTAAGTTTACTGTATTGGTTTTTTTTGGTCAACTGGATATTTAAGTTTATTATATTAGTTTTATTTTGGTCATCTAGATATTTAAGTTTATTGTATTAGTTTTTTTTTTTGGTCATCTGGATATTTTAGTTTATTGTATTTTTTTTTTTTTTTTGGTTATCTAGATATTTAAGTTTATTGAATTGGTTTTTTTTTGCTGGTGATCTGGATATTTAAGTTTATTGAATCGATTTTTGGTCATCTGGTTTTTATGTTTTTGATCTCTCTAACATTTCACACAATTCCTCAAATGAGTTTAAAACCAAGAAAGAATGTTTTCCCAAGCCTGTTAAAATAAACATCTCTCACTCTAACTTTGAACAGATAACAGGTTAGAAGCTGTCCCAAGAGGCTTGTACAAGCTGAAGCTCCTCAAGTATTTGTACCTGAACAACAACAAGCTAGTGGAGCTTGAAGAAGACATTGGCAGACTGAGGCAGCTTCAAGTGCTGGACCTATCACACAATGATCTGGCCAGTGTGCCACAGTCTCTGTACAGACTTGCCAAACTGCACAGTTTCAACATCAAAGAAAATTACAACTTGGTCGCAGCAGGAAAGGGGAAAAACGAATTAGAGAATAAAAATTTCATAAAACAAAGAAGAGTCAAGGCAAGTAAAAATGGCGATGAAAATTTTAAAGAGGCTGCAATGAATAACGGGAAGATTAAATCTGAGAAAGAAGCAGAGGAAAATAAAAAACTTAAATCTCCAAGAGCTACCTTAAAGATGAATGGCTACGGTCCAGATATGCACCAGAGATTCCAGACAACAGACAGGGAGCGAGCCAGGGACAAGGGAGGAATGGACAGGCAGACTGGGACTAGAACTACTGACAACAAGAGCAGCTGGT